CCTTCTCAATTCGCTTCATCAAGTGGGTGATGTATCTGAACGGCATAACTTCAGGAGGAAAAAAAACGTTATATACGGATCAGATAATGGTTTGAGCCTCAATCATATAATTTATTTCCCTGAATAAGGAGATTATGTACTTTGTGGCATATTGTGACATATGTATAGTGACTTATTGGAATGAGTTGTATACAATCTCTTACAACCATTCGACAAAATTTCAGAGATTGCAATAAAATCCGAGAGAGCTGCAAATTAGATGTCCACTAAGGTATAGTAGGCGGTATGGACAAACTTCTGAGCCCGAGAAAGTATTTGCGCTTGAAAATGTTCCAGAAAATCTGTTTCTTGAAAAAAAAAACCGTGGAGATAATTCTCTGCCATCTTTTCAAAAACTTTTTTGGCTTTCAACCGGAATCTTTTTAGTAAGATAAGTTACTCATGGAGCTGTATGGTAATACATAGTAAAAATGGTTAAAAAAGAAAAAAGCAACAAAAAGCGCAGCCTAAACAGCTGGATTTTCCTTCTCTTATACAATTTCCTCACTTGTCAAGGCTAAGGCACCGAAAATATTTGAAAGAAGATATAAATAGGAACTAAACGGCCAAAAATCACTAGAGTACTTACCCGGCAATCTTATTCCTCAACTGCTTGCTGCCGATGATGGCAACCTCGTCACAGATGCGTTTGTTGGTGTGGAAATCATGAGTGATCTTCGTGTAGTACTTCTCGATAATGACTCGCGACGCCTTCTTGACGGTCTTGGTACGAACTCGACTCATTCTGGATTTGCCAAGTCTACAAGCACGTGGGGATATCCAAGATAATGCGAGCGAAATCAACGATTATCAGCAAAATGTAAAGAGACATTTGATACGTTACTGGCTGTCCAGATTATGACAACAGAATTATATGAGCTCTTATGATGGAAGAGTTGAAGATTCAAAAACACATGCCGGAGTAAAAAGCCATGAATACAACATTGATAATCGCCAGTTAACGAATCAGTTTCAACGACTATAAGGATAAAACAAGCTGTAGTCAAGAAAAAACCTTTAACTAATCCTTCGCAGAAAGATACAGATCGTATTCATTTCCTGACGCTTTAATCACACATGATAAAGTAACGAATCAATTTTAGCAGGAAAGACAGCGCTAGTTCAACAATTTCAGAAATGCAATTTTCCGTTTCAACTAA